CAGGTGCACGCACCACACGCTGGTTACAGCTGAGCAGTCCCGGCAGCGGGGCTGGGAGGGCGCCCGCCATGGTCCTGGCTCTCTGGCCCCCAGCTGAGCCGTAAATGACTTTTCCATTTTCTGAGACCTGCGCCCAGGCCTGTTTGGTATTCAGGGACACCCGGCCCACACTCGCCAGCTCCCGGCTCTGCCCGAATTACTTGATTAAAACGCATATCAACTATTATGTGATTCGTTTCTCTGCTGCGGCTCCTGGCCGGCCTACGTTAAACTGTAATAAAGGCTGGACAGGGAGGCAGCAGGGACGGGAGCACAGGACCCGGGGTGGGAGGGTGTCTGTTTGGGGGCGAGGGGTTCTGAGAGAAGGGCCCCGTATCTCAAGGCCATTGCTGGCTTCCCCTGATCTAGAATTTCTGACAAGGATTTGGAGATGGGTCAACTCCCTCCTGCAGCTCCAGAAATCATGACCATCTTCTCCTTTGGCAAAGGGTGACTAGGGCAGGTTTGAGGGGTGGGGATGGAGAACAAGCCCCCTTGGTTTTCATGATCAGAGATGGAATTCTCCATCCCCCGGGAATTCATTGAAGCGAAGCTGACTGTCGCTGGGCTGGGCGTCCAGAGTCCTGGGTTTTCTTCCCAGGCTCACTCCGCCAGGATTCCACCGGACATCTGTAAAATGGGGCTTGTTCCTGCCTGCGTGGCCCTCCAGGGTAACTAGGAGAAACAGTGTTAACACAGTGAAAGGGCTTGCAAACTGCAGAGTGCGTGCACAGGTTCAAGGTGAGGATTATTACAATGTGTCAGCGTTCAAAGGGAAGTTTGTAACCATCCGGCTGAGCCCTACTTACCTAAGAAGCCCTAACAGAGCCCCTGCCAGGTGCTGGGCAGTCTTAGGTGCACCCAAGGGCTGCCTGCAGCAGTGGGGCCTAGAGACCCACACACAGGCAAGTTCACTGTCTCCCAATGAGCTTTGAGAGCCCAGAGTGTGGGCACTGCAGCCTGGCTGGCCCCGAGCTGGGTTCTGCTGGCTGAGCAGGAGTGCTCCTGGTGAGCCGGGGGGGGGGGGGGGGGGGGGGGGGGGGCATCCCCCACATCCCCCACCCCACAAACTCTGGAAGGTGTGCAATAGCGTGGCTAAGTCATTTAGGGAAGCTGAGAGCTGGACAGGGAACCACGTGGAGTCGCAGGGTGAGTCGGACACACAGTCAGGGCCCATGGGTGGGGCAGACTGGGGTACCTCGGCTTCCTGAGCCAGTGGCTGATGGGCTTTAAAGTGGGGGCGGGGCAGAGGCAGGGGGAGTGGCTGGAGAGCTGCCCCCAGCCTCACGCTGTGCAGTCAGCCACCTGGCGGGGGCTGGACTCTGCCCCAGACAGGCCTCATTCCTGCCCACCCTTTAGCCTTGACAAACCTTAAGGTTTGACAAACGGAAGGATTTCTGTCACCCCTCCAGTCCCTCATTCTGGGGTTCCCTCAAGTCACCTGTTTTACACCTGCTCCGGCTCGGATTCCTCTGGAAGCCGAGTTTCCTTCATCCGCCCGGGAAGTTCGCAGAACAGGAGGCGAAGCCTCCCTCTTCGGTCAGATCGGGAGCTTCCTAAGACGGAGGCTGTTTTCCCCCATAAGATTGGGAGGGCCCCACGGTGGGACTTGTCTTCCTTGCTCTGTATCGGATCCCCCCGCCATCCCTAAGCAGAGAGAAGATCCAGGAAGCCAGAGAGAGGCCCCCTCACCATCTCCCCTGGGGCTCTCTCCACACCAGCAAGAGCTCTGTCCCACCTCCCCGGCATCTTCCCATCTCACAGCTGCTTGAGAGCAGGAGGGCAGGAATGCAGCTGGCCGGGACGCTGGCCCCCCACACCCAGCCTCTGTTTAATGAATGCGCTCCCATGTCCACTCTCCCCACGTGTGCCTCCCTGCGCCAGCTGCCCAGGCTTTCGCTGCACGGAGCACTCAGCCCCAGCCGTCAGGGTTTCTCTGCAGCCAAGTCCACCTAATCCTGCTGATGAATCTAACTCTGAGACCAGCGGGCTCCGGGAGGGGTGGGAGAGCGGCGTTGGGGAAACCGAAGCCAGGGCGGTGCGGTGGCAGCGGGGTTCTTTGTGAGCAAGCTCCCCTCACTCATGCCGCTTTGGTCCCGACACCCCCCTCTTCTGTCATCATCATCCTTCTCGTGCCCTTTACAGGTTCCAGAGTACTCCTGCAGCCTGCATTTCATTTCTTTCTCAGAGCAGTCCATTGAGACATGTGGGCATGTACCATTAGCTTCATTTTTACAACTGAGAAACCCGAGGCCCAGAGAGGGAAAGCGACTTGTCCAAGGCCACACAGCGAGGGCAACACAGAACCCAGAGTCCAGGTGTCAGGCCTCCCAGACCAGGACTCTTGACTAGAACAGAGCTGCCCCAGCGGCCCCCAGACTTCCTCCCAGTCTGTCCTCCCTCCCCTTCCTTCTCCAGCAGCGAGCTTACTGGCTGTGTGGCCTCCATCAAGTTACTGAACCTCTCTGAGCCTTGTTTTCCCTCTTTGTAAAAGAGCCAATAGCCCAGACCAGTTGTGAGCCTGGCACCAACCTAAAAGGATCTCTTCCTCTGGGCTGGGCTAGTGAGGAAGCGAGAGATCTTTTTCAGAGGCCTGAAATGACGCAGTCCAGTTCTTCTTCGATCTCTTTCAATCTCTAGCTAGTGGGACAGAGCCTTGCTGTCCCCACACAGCATTGAGGGTTGTTATGGCAACTGCCAACATCCTATCCCTTCAAACAATAGAGGCCTGTGGGCCCAGCTTTGCCTTCCTCAGTCCGTGTTTTGGGCTGGGCATCTCTTTTGGCCCATAGATTCCCAGATCTGTGCGGATCCAGGGGTGGGAGGAGCAAGGAGGAGAGGAGGAAGTAGACTCCGTACTCCATAACGATTCTAGAAGGCTGCACGTAAATTGGGGGGCCAGGGCATTGAATGCATGTGGGGCCTGAGTGGGCGCTGGCTGAGGCTGGCACCCCGAATTTACCCTGCAGCCTGCAGGTGGCTAACTGCATTGACGCTTTTGGTTACAGCCCAATAGCCTGTTCTAGTATTTCCCTGATGTTTTACATTATACAAAAGCACCTTCGCAAACTGAATTCAAGGAAACAAATGCTCTTGTAAGTGGAAAATGAGTATCATGTCCTATAAGTAGACGGGAACCATGGAAACAATGGTGTTAATTCTGCCTAGAAGCTAAGGCATGCAGAAGCTCTGAGCTCGGGGCTGGGCCTCTCCTTACTGAGAAGGGAGAACCACAGTGTTAAATTCGTGCTGTCCTGTGGGGTAGCCACCAGCCACACGTGGCTGAGTAAATTCAAATTAAAGCAAAATCAGGTAAAAATATTCAGTTCTTTCGTTGCAGTAGGCACGTCTCCAGGGCCCCGTGTCCCGTGGGGCTGACACTTCCACCAGGTCGCACCACGCAGGCGCAGAACACGTCCATCATCTCAGAGAGGCCTGGTGGACGGCGTGGCTCTGGACAGAACTGAGACTTAATCAGATCGGGGTTTTCCCTGGGACAGGGCTGCGTCTCCTTCCCAATCTGAGCAGTTTCTGCCCATAGGTTTGGCCCCCGAGACCCCCAACCCCCTCTCACTCAGCGCCTGTCTGGGCTCGAGGGTCCCCACTGGAGGAGGGACGCTGGTGCTCTGTTCATCATCAGCAGGCGTCCGCCCCCCTCCTTCCGGCCTGCCACTCCTTGCTGCCTCCTTCCGAGGCCCCAAGGGTTCGCTCTCCTCATCACTGTCAGAAAACTGAGGTTAGGCTGTGAGTTTCAGGAAATGAATCCTTGCGATTAGTTGTCTTTGGCTCAGAGCCCCAGACGTGCTGGGGAAGGTGCCCAGGGTGCCAGCTGTGCCCAACATGGCCTCCTCGTGGTGCCGGGTTGCTGGGCAGCCGGGAAAGGGCGGATGGGGGGGTTGGATTCAACTCCAGCCTCCACCTTTGCGGACCAGGCAGGCAAGGATGAGGGGAGGGCCCCTTGCCTTTGGTTCCCTTTTTGTCACAATCAGGGACAGCCTGGCAGTGACCAATAACAGTCCAACGTGACTGTCCAATGGTCAAGGCAGCAGGAGGGAAGGGGACTCAGGTAGGGGGCACTGCCCCAAACTGGACGCGTTCCCAGCTGTGGATGCAGCCTGGTGGTGACAGGACCCGTCATGCCCTCCGGCACGCCGGCACTTTGCACATGCTCTTCCCCCTTCCTGGAATGCCTTTCCTTTCACCTCTGAGTAACATCCGGGCCGTGTTTGGTTATAGGAAGTGGGGGGAGGTTGTCCCTTGTGGGAAGGGCCTAGACCTGCTCATGTAGCCAACACGAATAAGAACGGGGGTGGGGACAGGACGCCGTTACATTTGCTCCCTCCGTCCCTGTTCCCTCCCTTCCGTCATTTTGCAGTCTTTTCCCAAAATGCAGTAGTGCCTTCATTTAAACTGTGAACAAGCACAAAGAAGGAAACACAAGTTCTGTCACCCGAGGTTAACGTCTGTTCATCTTTTCACTCTAATGTTTCATAATGTACCGTGCCCGCTTTTTCTAAAAGTGGGGTTGGCCTCTGCACCCCGGTCTGTACCTAGCCTTGTTCTTAAAGTCAGCATTATTGAAGTACAGTTAACATGCTGTAAAATTCTTTTTTTTTTTTGGAGGATTTAGTTCTAGAAATTTTGGCAAATGTTTTTTTAAATTATGAAACCGACCCCTGACTTCGACTCACAGATACCCTTCTGTGTCGGTGGAAATAACCTAAATAAATGCCCAGCTATAGGGGATTTTTTTTTTCTTTAAGGAATGTTGTACCTTAAAGTAATTAGCCAGTCCCCCAGGGCTGGGCATGGAGGTTGCTTCCCACTCTTCCCTCTGATAAACGGTGCCGTGTGCTCCCCTGGGGCCTGATCCCTGGTGCAGTGATGGGCCTGAAGGTGGGCACAGAGCACCCCTCCATCTCACCAGGCCCCCCCTCCTCCTCCCTCTCGCCTGGCTGCAGGGAACCGGCTGGACGAGGGCTCAGACGTGGAGTCGGAACCTGACCTGCCTCTGAAGCGCAAGCAGCGCCGCAGTCGGACCACGTTCACGGCCGAGCAGCTGGAGGAGCTGGAGAAGGCCTTCGAGCGGACGCACTACCCCGACATCTACACCCGCGAGGAGCTGGCGCAGAGGACCAAGCTGACTGAGGCGCGTGTCCAGGTGAGCAGGCGTCTCAGATGTTGGCACAGTGGGCATAGTCCAGGGGCGCAGCCAGGGCCTGGGGGTTCCCTGGGCCCCCCGGGAGTTGTGCAGCAGGTGGTCTGAGGACTGTGCAAACAAGTAATGCCACCAGCAATCGATGCTGAGTAAGCGAGCAACGAATGTTGATTGGCCGATGGAGGGTGGCGTGGCGGGCAGCCCGAGGGAAGCCAGGGGCTGCAGTGGGGGCTGGTGGATTCTGTTCATCTCTCCAGGCAGCAAGCACCTCAAAAAAAAAAAGATAAAAGGAGGGATGGAGAGAGACGTGGAGAGGAAGAGAAGAAGAAGTCAAGGGAAGGAGGGAGGAAGCAGTAAGGAAGGGAGGGCAGTAGGTCAGCCAGGAAGAGCGGGCTCAGGGAGTATAAAACCCTTCCCACCTCTGACGATGGGTGGAAGTCGTTCGGAGGAAAAGTTCTGAACGGGCTTAGCCTCCTAAGATGGGTAATGAGTTTTCCGTTATGGGAAGCATGCAAGCAGACTGGGCAGGCCTGTTCCTGGTGGGTTAGAAGCAGCAGAGGGAGAGTGGCCAGACCTTGACCACCCCTCCACACGTACACCCTCAGCTGTGCATCTCCTAACCGGTGAGGGTGGGGAGGGAGGGTACAGGCAGGGCGAGCCTGCCTGCCTTCCAGGCTGATGGTGGGGGAGGGACTTGCCTCCCCTCCCCAGGCTGTGCTCTCACATTCAGAGGACTACGGTCCTCTCTGAGTGCAGAGGGGGCCTCGGGGGACGGCTGGGAAGGACCCAGGCTGGGTGGTGGAGCAGGAAGATCACGATGAATAGCTCTAGTGGGAGCCGACTCCTGGCCGGTCTTCTCCCTGAAAGAGGGAGGCAGGTAGAGGGGCTGCCCCAGACTGCTCACGGGGGCGCTTCCGTCCAAGGTTAGCCAGCTCTTGTCGGGCACCCACCCTCTGCCATCCCAGGGCCTGTTGTGCATGGGGCTGGTGGCACCTCAGGCCACCCCATCAGAGTCAGTGTGGTCCCGCCCCAGGCCATAGGTGCGGAAGCTGAGGCTCAGAGCCGTGATGGGCCCAGAGGCGCAGAGCTGAGTAGGGGCTGAGTGGGCCTGGAACTCAGGCCTGGTGGGTACCAAAGCCCTGGTTCCGTTCAGGAACAAGAAGCTGACTCAGAGCCTAGAATTTGAAAGCAATAGAGAAAGTTCTGGAAGCAAAGCAACATTTAACTACTCCAGGAACAAATGCACCTCCCTCCGTTCTCCCCACCCCCACTTCTGGAGTGGGGGGCCCTGGGCTGCCTTTGACAGAGACCCCCAGTGGGGGCGGGCAGCAGCCGCAGACAGCTCTTCTCACCCCCGCCCCTCCTCTCCTGGGTGACACCCGAGCCCGCCCCCGCCGGCCTCCCTCCTGCTCTGATCCTGCTTGCAGCTGTTCTCCCGGCACATTCCTGGGTGCCTTCTCATTCCCACGTCTGGGGGCCTCGGCTGCTTCCCACCACCTTGCAGCCTGACTGCTCCTTGTAAAATTTCCTGGCTGTCAGGGCAGGGCTTTTATTGGCCCAGGGGACCCAGAAGCAGGTGTCACTCAAGGTCCAAGGAGGGAGGGGGGCTGGGATGAGGGGCAACAGCCAGGGCCCCCGACAAACCCACAGGGAGGGGGCAGCCAGGGCAGACATCTTCCATGTGCTGACGCCCCCCTCAGACTCTGGCTCCCCCAGGGCGGGGCTGGGTCTTCCCCCCACAGCCTGAGAGCTTTCCCTGCAGAGGGAAAAACAGTAAGTGCTGATTTTTTTAAGAAGAATGAACCGAAAGTAACCCCCTAAAAATGGAGACAGGAATGACACAGCATTTAGCCTGGAGAAGAGGAGACTCGGAGAACGTGGCTGCTTTGAGAGGTCTCAAGGGTAGAAACAGGGTCAGCAGGGAAATGTCCCAAGTCCCATATGATGGTCTGCAGAAAGGAGAGCGCAGGGCTGGGAGCCACGGGTCTCGACTCCTGTGGATTCCTGCCACTGATCGGCTGTGTCCCATTTAACAGGACAGATTCTTTCCCTGAGACTTCATTTTTCATTTCTAAATAAAGGAATCAAGCTAAATAGTTACTAAGGTCTCTTAAAGTGCTAGGATCCTTATTACAATCAAGGCTGCCTCGTGAGATGATGAGATCCCCGTTACAAGAAGCATTCAAGCAAAAGTGCAACATTTAGTGGGTCAGAAACCTGGAGAGAGGGTTTCTGCTGCGGACAGTGTGGCAGGGACCTCGAGGCCACCTGAACAATGCTTAAGTTTTATGCATCTGTACTTTTGAAGTCTTGGCCTCTGATTCTGAGTCTATGGTTTAGGGATTTTGCAATCCTATGCCACTTTTTTAACTTAAATTTTATTTTGCAATTGCAGTTTACATTCAGCATTATTTTATATCAGTTTCAGGTATACAGCATAGTGGTTAGACAATCACATACTGTACAAAATACTTCCCTGGTATTTCTTGTACCCACCTGGCACCATACATAGTTATTACAGTATTATTGGCCATATTTTCTGTGCTGAACTTTACATCCCTATGACTATTCTGTACCAAACTGTGCTTCTTAATCCTTTCCCCTGTTTCAGCCATCCTCCCAAACCTCCTCTTTTCTGGCAATCAATTTTATTTCTGTGCCATCTTTTCTCCATGGCCCCGGGAGATGTGTGGGATGGTAAAGGGGTTCGGAGTGGTCTCAGAGACAGACGCCCGGGTGTGAATTCCAGCTTCATCAGTTCCTCCTTTCACAGTCAGTTTCCTCATCGGCCACATGGACATGGCAAGAATGGGATCTGAGGATTAAATGATGGCATGGAAACACACACACACACACCAAGCTAGAAAGTGGCCAGCACACGGAAGTGCCACAAGTGGGGGTGGGGGCTGTCATTATTATTAAAACTCCATCTGTTCTCGATGGTTCCAATTCTAGCCACCCTTGAAACTCCAGGTTCATTCATCCGGCACTCATTTATTGAGCACCTACTATGTGCCAGAGACTGGTCTAGGCCCTGGGGATTCAGCAGACAGAAATCTGTAGTCATGGAGCTGATATTTGATAAACAACCATTAGGCAAACATGTGTCAGGTGGAGTTCGTGATTCAAGCGTGTTGCCTCCCTCTGGCTCCCCTCCAGCCCCACTTTGGAAACTGGCAGGGTGTTACATGGCACCCCCAGTGTGTGGCGCAGACACCCCGTCTCAGCCTGCAGAAAGCCTGAGCCATGGCGAAGGGCAGCGAGAGGGGTGTCAGGCAAGAGGGCGCATGCCTGGGGGCCAGTAACTTTCTCTGCAGGAATCTGCATTTTTAAACAGCAGGAGGGCAACCCCAGTCTTGCACACACCTTCTGGGAAGGTAAACAAATCCCGTGTGTTCAGCTGCCAGGAACCCCGCACCTGCGATTCTTCCAGAAGCAGAGGCCCCCTGAACTGACTCTCATTTTAGAGGGACTCACTAATTAGCACTTAACCCAAACTTCTCACAATACTAGACAATACGTATAATGTACTTTCTATGTGCCAGGCATGATGCGAAACACTTCACATACATTATTTTTTCATCCTCACCATAACCCTCAGACGGAACGAGGTATGATTAGAGCTCTCTGCAAACTGTCCCCAGCAGTGTGAAGGAGGGCATGTCCTCCCTCAGGGGAGCATGCTGGCTGGACCGAGGGTGACGGCTGGGGACACTGGTTCTGGCTGAGCCTCAGCTCTCTGCCAGGAGCCGGGCTGAGGGCTCTGTTCTCCACTCTCGACCCACCAGGTCTGGTTCAGCAACCGCCGAGCCCGTTGGCGTAAGCAGGCAGGAGCCAACCAGCTGGCAGCGTTCAACCACCTTCTGCCCGGGGGCTTCCCTCCCACCGGCATGCCCACGCTGCCCCCCTACCAGCTGCCGGACTCCACCTACCCCACCACCACCATTTCCCAAGGTGAGTGCCCGACCCCCGTCCCAGCATTCTAGCCACGCCCTCTGTCCCTCCCCCCTTGGCCCACCCAGTCCGTCCTTCCTTAACAAAGAAGGAATGAGAAGGGTTGTGTGTTTATGACCCTTTGTCTGCTTTCCTGTGGACAGTCTATTAAGACAAAAAAGGTGAGGTCCTGCCCTTGAACTTCTTGGCTTTGCCAACAGGCTATAGAGCATCTAGGTAAGGATTAACAAGGTCACTCCCATGTCCATGTTTAAAACAGAGCTTCTCAAACTGTAAAGTCTCATGAATTTCCGGGTCTTATTCAAATGCAGAAGAGATGGTGCACCTTGGGGGAGGAGAAGGGTTCTTCCCCTTCTTCCTTGGCTCCTGTCTCCAACTGCGCCCTCCCCCTCCTCTTTCCACTCCCCTCAGTCCCCCCTCCCAGCACACGTTAGGAACCCCAATACCCAACATCTGCCTCATGAAGCCCTGGTGGCCTCCTCTGAAAGGGCTGGCAGACAGGCGGAGCTCTGGAGGCTGAGGAGAGAAGCAGGGGACCTTCTCTGGGATTCTCGATGAGACATTAACCTTCACAGAGGATCATGGTCACGTCTGCCGTAAGGCTGTACAGAGGGGCCCTAACAGAGCAGAATAGCCTCTTAGCACCCTTGGCCACACCACTCACTACCCTTGTCACCTCGCACAAGAGCCCCTACCCCACCGAGTCTCAGTTTCTTCATCTATAAAATGGGAACTGTAGTCTTGCTTCATACCCTTAGTGTTTGTAGAAGCAACCGGCAAGTGGTCGATGCTCACAAAATGCTACTGAGACAGGCCTGGGTAGATTCAGACAGAGTCCTCACAAGGTCTGACTTTCAGTCCAGGTAATTACCAGGCTCCCAGTGTGTGCCGAGCCCTGAGGGGCAGGACCGGTGCACGGTTTCCTAGAGGTAGTCTGGAATGTTAGCTGGCTGTCAGTCCAGACTTGGCCAGTCCCCAGTGTCCTGCCTAGAAGCCAGCTTGTCCCATTTCAGGTATCAAGAGACGGCCCCTTCCCTCCACTGGATGGGGACTGGGAGAAGGAGGCTCATAGCTTGCCTTCCAAACAGGAGGTCATTTCCCTGCCCTGGGAGGCCCACCCTCCAAGGTGTGCCACCCGCTCAGGCCCTCCCCTGGGTCTCTCCACAGATGGGGGCAGCACCGTGCACCGGCCTCAGCCCCTCCCACCGTCCACCATGCACCAGGGGGGGCTGGCTGCGGCCGCAGCCGCCGCGGACACCAGCTCTGCCTATGGAGCCCGCCACGGCTTCTCCAGCTACTCCGACAGCTTCATGAACCCTGCGGCGCCCTCCAACCACATGAACCCTGTCAGCAACGGCCTGTCCCCTCAGGTAGGTGGCCTCGGCCCTCTGCCCAAGGTCCTGTCGCCAGACACCCACCAGCCCAGGCCTCAAGGGCTCCAGGTGACCCCAGTTGGCTGTCCTTGGGGAAAAAGTCACTGGGCTCACAAAGCCACTGGCTGTTGGGTACCTTGAGAGGGTTTAAATACCTCCACTTGTCAATACTTTGTGGTCCTTCACCTTGGGTTTATCTTCCCAAGCTGCAGACCTGGGTGACCCACTGGTGGAGGCAGAGGAAGGGTTTTCATAACACGTTTCCATACTCCTTGCTGCCCAGAAACAAACAGGTGCGTTACAGACTAGCTCTTGGCTTGAGAGCCACCCTGAGCTCGTGAAAATGGCCACCACCCACCTCGTGGCTGTCCAGTCCATGAAAGTGGGGCATTGTCAGAGTGTGCATTGGTGGGGCCTTTGCACCACTTCCTGTGGGATGCTGATGGTGGCTGGGGCTTTGTTCTAGAACCAGGAGCCCCTCCTGGATTCCACCCTGTGTTCCATCTCCCCGCCTTTCACCAGGAGTGACCCATGCATGAAAGGCAGGGCCATGTCCTATTGGTGGAAAGAATGGTGGCTGGGTTCCATGGGAAAAACTCTACTCCCATTGGGTCTTGGAACTCTGTTCACTCACGTGTGATTGGTTGCTGGTTAAGTCACTCATGGCCTGGTGGTGCTGTTAGAAGCCCTGGGACCCACTTACATGAAGTGGGGAAGACCATGCTGGGGTTCGAGGTGGGTAGCAGTGGGTTTGGGGAACAGGACTTGGTGATGTTGGAAGTTTTAGTGAATTTGACGAACTGGTGAGTTCATTTCTGTAGCAACAGCAGGCTCTCAGCTGTGCACAAGGTGGGGTGGGGTTCACCCTGCCTCGCACCGTCTGAGACACCTTCTTCTCTTGTGTGGTAAGAATGCGTGTGATACAAACCTACCTGAATTGGGGGGTAGGAAGGGGAAGGTTCGGAGGAGGTTTTAATCCCAGCTCTGCTGCTCAGGTGTTAGGCAAGGTAGCACCCTTAAGCCTCAGTCTGCCCCCCCCATTAAACAAGAGAGCAATTAAACAGTGTCCCTAACCTGCTAAGAATGATGTTCTCTGCATTCATGTGCTATTGGGTTAAAGCACCCCGCATAGAGCCTGGCCCAGCGGGGGCCAGGTAAACCTCAGTTCTCTTTTCCATCCCCCCCACCATTACCAAGACAACAGAACGAGTCTAGAGACCTGATGCCTGAAACAAAAGGGGCCAAAGGGAAAGTCAGCTGCAACCCCCACCTCCCCACCATGGCCATGTCCATCTGGCTGCCTGTTTTTGTAAATAAAGTTTTATTAGCACACAGCCGTGTTCCTTCATTGATGTGTTTATGGCTGTTTTTGTTCTAAACAGCAGAGTTGAGTAGTTTCAAAAGAGACCAGATGGCCTGAAAAGCCTAAAATATTTACTATCTGGCCTTGACAGAAAAAATTGCCCCCTCCTCCCCGGCCTAAAACATTTCTAAGAATGTTAATTTTCTGCATGTTTTTGGTTCATTCCTGTTTGCCTCTATTCATGTGTGGCGTTGAGGGCCAATTGCATTTTAGTTTCATCATTTACTTGTGGGTAAGTTCCCTTCTCCTCTCTACACCTTGATTTTCTCATCCGTGAAATGGGGACAATTTAGCACCTGTTTCACAAGGTCACTGGAGATTGAGTGAGATGAGCTACATGATGCCCTTAGCCCAGGTACCTGCAGAGTTGAGTGTCTGGTGATCATGTGCAGCTGAACGCTGGGTTCCTAACGGTGACGCACCCAGTCCCCTTGGGGCCCATGTTATGCGGGGCGGGGGATGCAGCCTGCAGACCAGAATGTTTTCCCAGTGGGACCCAGTAGAGCCTCTTTGGGATTCAAGGTCATGACCTCCATCTCACTAGTGCCAGGGACTCATGAGTCCAGCTAACCTTCCAGAGTCAGGAGGTATGGTAGGCACAACAGGGTCCCAGAGCTGGCTGGGTAAGGATGCTGCAGAGACCCAAGGTGTCTACACCCGAGAACATGGTCCTGGCCTGGCCTCTTGGTACGAACAAGTGGGAAGAGCATCACTTGGAAGCCTGAGGAGGGACACTGAGATTATGTGACCAGCCACCTCACTTTACAGCTGGAGGGCCCAGGATACACACATTGTCTGAGTTCAGGGCACCTGGCTCCCTGACCCCGCTCTCCCCAGCCCCCTGCTCTCAGCATGGGCTGAGGTTTATTCCCAAAGCAACACTTTGTCACAGGGCAGAGGAGAGCTGAGTGAACCAGGGGTCCCTGGCTTCTGTAGGGTCATTTGCAGCAGGGGGTTAAAGAGTGAGGATGTTCCTTGTGCTGTTGGGGTCCAGCGCTGAACCTCAGGGAGGGAGGGAAGCGGAAGAGAAGCTGGCCCACTAATGGAAGCAACCAGGTCCAGCCCAACCCTCCAAGGCTCCCTCCCCACCACTCAGGGCGGAGAGGCTGCGAGGCCGCGATGGATCGGGCGGACTTCGGACATGCACTCACCCAGAGGTTCCCACCAAAGGTGTGAAGACAGATGGAGGGTCTGACAGGGGCAGAGGGGACCGGGAGGTGAACAGCTGCTGAGGGGAGAGGGGCTGCGTGCAGGGCAGACACGGGGCCAGGCCATGTGTGCTTCTGAGCGTGTGACCCTCTGGGGTTAAGCTGCGAACACTTCCTGAAGGAAGGGGGCAGCCCAGGGGGCGTTCGGGTCTTGTAGAGAAGTTCCGGGCATTTTTGAGCCCCCACACCCACCCAGCACACTCCCTCCTCGGTCTGAGCAGGCCCGCCCGACCTCTCCTGACGTCTCTGTGGTCTGCGGAGCTGTGAGGGTTCTCCGCCAAGACCAGTCCATTTTCCATGACCTATCTCCCCAACAGGAGGAGCTCACCTGGGCGAGAGGATGGGCCCCGTGTGGGTTGGGGCTTCCCCCTGGGCTGTGGCTGGCGCATAACCCCTCACACAGAATCGCAGGCCCTTGCCACCACTGCCCACGTAGCCTTGGCCCAAAGGGATTATGTTGGGCAGTGAAGTTGGGGGTCCTGCTGAGCACCTGCTGGTCACACCGACTGGCCTGGCGCCACCTGGGGAAGGTGTGCTTCCTCTCAGGGGTTGACCCCATCTTTGTTTCAGACCAGCCTGGGCAGCAGGGTGCTGTGACCCTCAGGGGCTGCCCAGAGAGACTGCCCAGCCAAATTCACCAAAAAGCCACTTAGGTATCTCAGCTCTGTGCCTGAGCCCTGCCTCAAAGGTAGCAAATAGTTATGGGTGCCTGCTCCATGCCCCGCCCTGTTCTAGCATCAGCCAGTGAACAGGAGAGATGGAGACCCCTGCCCTGCGGAGCTGGCTGTGTAGGGCAGACAGATGATATGCATCGTAAAACAGCGCGTCACAGTTTCCTGCCAATGTTGACAAGGACAGCTCACTTTCTGAGCCCCTGTGACTCGGGCCCTGCTCGGTTTCCAATATTCTTTTTTTAGAGTTTATTTCATTGATTATGCTATTGTAGCTGTCCCATTTTTTTCTCTTCTTTATTCCCCTCCACCCTGCACCCCCACTCCCTCCAGCATCCCCCCACCTTAGTTCATGTCCATGGGTTGTACATAAAAGTTCTCTGGCTTCTCCATTTCCCACACTATTCTTAACCTCCCCCTGTCTGTTTTGTACCTCCTATTTATGTTTCTTATTCCCTGTACCTTTCCCCCCATTCTCCCCTTCCCCCTTCCCCACTGAAAACCCTCCATGTGATCTCTATTTCTGTGATCCTGTTCTAGTTGTTTGCTTAGTTTGTTTTTTAGGTACAGTTGTCGATAGTTGTGAGTTTGTTGTCATTTTACTGTTCATAGTTTTGATCTTTTTCTTAGATAAGTCCCTCTAACATTTCATATAATAAGGGCTCAGTGATGATGAATTCCTTTAATTTGATCTTATCTGGGAAGCACTTTATCTGCCCTTCCATTCTAAATGATAGCTTTGCTGGGGTGAATAACCTTGGATGTAGGTCCTTGCCTTTCATGACTTAGAATACTTCTTTCCAGCCTCTTCTTGCCTGCAAGGTCTCTTTTGAGAAACCAGCTGACAGGGGGAGAGAACCAGGACTCAGCCCTTGTCTCTGCAGCCTGAGCGCTTAACCACTCACCTTCCTGCCTCAGAAATGCCCCCAACCTTGCTGTCTTTTTTGGAGATTGGTTGGCAGCCAGAAGAAACCGTCTTGGGAAGCTGGTACCTTCAGCTCAGTGGAGCGAAAAGCTCACTCAGCCCATTTTGTAGACGAGGAAACTGAGGCCAGGACCACAGGTTAGGGGCTGATGGGCGGAACCAACTCAAACAGGAGAAAGCCTTCCTAGAGGTTTGGGTAACTGTGAGGCTTATCGCTCTCCTAGCCTGGGCCCTCACCCACCCGCAGAGCCAGCCATATAGGACCAGGCACACATCACATGCACTCCCCGGCCTTGCGTGCTGGGTCCTTCTGAAGAGGAAGACAACTTCTGCCCATGAGACCTCTCTCTCTGCTGGCTCATTGAAGGCTAGGGCCCAAAGACCCCCAGCCCACCCTGTCCCCTTCACTCCAGGCTGAGAGTCAGTTACTTGGAAAACAACTGCGGGCAGCTTAGGACAACAGGAACCTTTTGTGACCGGAATGGCTTTGAATAACCTGATACCTGCAGACTCATCACTTCCCACTGGCCTGTTTGTGGGAATCTCAAGCAAGGCGTGCTTTTAGGGGAGGTGGGCAGAGAGATGTAAAGGGGACACGGAAGCCTGCCCTTAGGGACTCCTCAGTTCTGACGGGGGAGACATAGCTCCTGGCCCGAGAGGAGGGACCCAGCTCCTGTCCTCAGGAGGTCATGTCCTTAGATGCCCTGATGTGATGGTGGAATCGCAGCCTTCTCCTGCAGAGTCCCCACTATGATGAGACAGGCAGGCACTCAGAGTCGTTTGCAGCTGCAGTGCTTGCCAACCCAAGCTCCCAAGTAAAGAATCAGGTGCGAGGTTTTGCCATTTCGAGGGTCGTCTGGGCTGGAGACCAGAGGCAGGGTGCCCTGGGCAGGGGGCTTCGTCAGGACCTGTGTGTATGCCCTCAGAGGGGGTGCAGCTGGAGCTCCCCGCTACCCCCAAGCAGTTTCGGATGCAGATGGGACCAGAACGGGAGGTGGAAACTGAGGCCCAGAGAGGGAGAGAACGTTGCCCCAAATCTCATCATCCCACTGTCCGTGGCCAGTCTGGGACGGCCACTCAGGGCCCCAGACTCCAGCCAAACCCTTGCCCCTTGGAAAGGGGGCATTTCTGTCTTGCCACTGCCACTTGCTTCGTTCCCTCCTAATGTCCCACGTTGGCGGCCCCTCTGCTTCTCTCTGAAGCTTAACACGAAAGAACGTGTAGAAGGGATTTAAGTATTTACAACCCCCCCCCCCCAGTGAATTAATGAAAAATATTCTCTAAGTGTACAGTTTATCACCTGGCCACAGTCACAGTAAACCAAGCCTTTTTGTCCTTTCCTTCCTGTGCCTGTCACAATTACTAATGACAGCCAGTGTGGCGTGAGCGCTGACGATGGGCCAGCTGTGGACACGGCTAAACACCGTGCCTGCTTCCACTCATTGAATCTTGGCAGTTCCTGTGACTTTCGTTTTACAGATGAGGAAATTCACTTTTCCAGGGTCATCCATCCATTCTTTCGCCATCCAACAAATATTTATTAAGCCCCTACCATGTGCCAGGCTCCGTGGTGGGTTCTGGGAAATGGCGGAGCCAGGATTCGAATGGTCCAGCTGCAGAGCCCACAATACCATTTAGTTGTATTAGCCCGGGGAGGTCGGTCTTACGGTTCATACGGGAAAGCTGA